GAATAAATCGAACCCACGCTCGTCTTTTGCATTTAGGGTGTCGCAGGTGCTCGAATCGCTGTGCTTTGGGCTCTCGTTGAGACGTCCTGTCGACGCTCGTAACATGTGGCTCAAGACAAAAAGGAGCTCCTTTAGGTCGAGTCGAATCCCTTAAACGACACTGTCTTTGTCGCCCTCTTGTGTCCTTCCCCTTTAAACTCATCCAACGGATGCCATTTTTTCCCCATGGCCACTGGGCATTTGAGCTGTTGGTGTTGCTTTTGGGGTGATATAGTCTGACTTGGTTTCAGTGATCCGCCATGCGCTGCAAGTGCTTGAGAGGGCACTTGCACTTTTTCCACTTGAACTACCAATCGAGGACCTCACAGGTTTTTTTGAAGACTGCATTCCTTTATGCATAGAAGCCCCCTGTGAACTTCCGAAAAAGCGTACTTTCCCACAAAGCATTGAGTCCAAAAGGGGTTCCCAAAAGGGGTTCCCAAAAGAATCCAAAAACGAGGGCTCCTTGAGGGCCAAGGTTTCGTGGCAGTGTTCTGATTTTATCGGCGGCCGAACGAAGCACGGCCCTGATCGCCCTGTCGAGAGAATCGGCAGGACGGATGATGCCCTGTCCTCCCAAGCCTGTCGCTTGGCGCGGCGCGGGGCGGAGCGCGGCCGCAACAGCAACGTGGTGGCGGCAGATGGCAGGCGCGCACAACGGGGCCCGTACCGGCGGAGTTGCAACGATTTGCCCGTCTACAGTAGGTCCCCCAGTAGTGCCCTTTTACCCTTTTTTGGGGGAGGGTTCTCTTATTGAAATAGACTACAGAAAAAACAAAATCGGGTACCCTTATTCTAACCTCTCAATTCTGGAGGACCTAGCTGTGTACTGCCGTGTTGCAGCAACGATTTGGGGGTACAACCAGCTCACCCCGATGGCCTGGCCCTTTTCTTGATCCCAAGATGTCAAGATGTTGGCTTGTTTTAGAACTTGTTACAACATGTTGGGTTGACGGGGGGGAGTTTGCCCAGACTTTCATGCTGCCCCGCGCAGCGTGTTCGCGGCTGTCGAGGGGGGGGGGGACGGAAAGAACACGGCATGTCGAGGCCAACCTGTGTTTCAAGCTAGTCGATCCAGACCCCCCAGCCCCACGCGCCATGTGACTTCTCCGCTATCTGCGCGCTCTACGCGGCTGCGCAGTCCCATTTGCTTATCTGACGCGCTGCCACATTGCCACAGGTGGTTTTAGACACCTGGTGTCTAAGAGGGCTTGGGGTCTTCTTGCATTTCAAGGAGCTACCTTCCCGAAAGTTGGTCTTTGTCTCCGCTGCGCTTTCAGTACCGTGCAGGAACGGAAGTTCTGCCAGCAAGTTATCAGTGCAGCTCATGACTTGTCTGCTTCGCATATACAAGGCAGCCCGGCCTGGACAGCTGCATGCAAGTGTCTGAATGTCTGTCACTAAGAGAGTCAGGCCACAGTCCTGGAGCCTGCTTCGAGCAAATGAGAATGCTGCGCCTTCCAGCACCGCGTATTCGAATCTGAGATTCGAATACGCGAAGTTGGACATGTCCAGACTTTCCTGTGGTGACCGTCATTCGGTCCGGGCAAACCACCCCCGGCAACCCAACATGTTGCAACCTATGGAAGAGAAGGATTCAGCCAGCAACCTTCGAGTTGGGCCTGCCCCCACAGCCCCCCCCTGCCCCACAGCCCCCCACAGCCCCCAACGGGAGGGCGTGTGACATGTGGAGCGAACTGCATGTTGAAAACTGCAAGTCTGGCCAGGCCGCTCACATGTCTGTCAAAAGTCCTTTTCAGAAAGCGGCCTGTAAATCCATGGCTTCATGTCCGAAAACCAGTCGACTTAGGTGTGTTTCCATCTCGGAGCAACGGCTTCCTGTTGTCTTCGGCGGGATGTTTTTGGAAGGGAAGGCAATAAGAGAAACCGCCCGGAGGGTTCCTCAAGTTTGATTGGCATTCCTTAGCTTGGGTTGATGTTCGGAGGGGATCTTTGGAGGGTTCAGAAGACAAACCCTACGAGTCGGGTGACTCGAGTTGGCAACCTGCCGCTAGGGTCGCGGAGGCAGACGTGAAGTGCGACGTGTGGCTGCCGTTGCAGGACACGGAGAAGGTTTGGAGGGTCTTCTTTTTAAGGGGCAACCTGGAAAGCCGCCCTAGGGTTGCCTCACAAGCCGACAAGCCCAAATAGTTACAGTAGATCGGACATGGGGGGGGGGGCTCACGCTTGGCTGTGGCTATGGATATCGTGTTTTGATTCTGCTAGCTACAGCAATTTCCCATTGATGACTAGAACTTGCTTGGACACAGGTGTGAGGCATGCCCGTTTCGAGTGCTTGCAGATGTCTCACAGGGCTCACGGAGAGGGATCTTTCACCACATCTGAGCCACGTCCTCAAGACCGATGCGGGATGATCCGCTCAGTAAGGCATATGCCCAACCCTACTTTGCGGATAGCCGCCTTCCTAATTCTTGAAGCATGGTTCTGGGTAGACCATTTTAATACCGGGCTTTGATTAGGACTCATATATCATAGTTCCATCCAGGTTGCTGGGAGATTAGCTGACCCTCTGGTTGACATGGAGCTGTTTGTCCGACCACGTGGCAGGGTATTCGCTGAAACTCATAGCCAGGCGGCACAGGTTCCGTCTTGCGAGCTCGAGTGTTTCGCTTCTCGATTTAATTGATCCACTGTGTTTGCTTTATTCCCCCCCCCCCCCCCCCCCACCCGCCCAAAACTGGGTGGTTCCCTTTGGTTTGCAACTTTTGAACCACACATGAAGCCCCTTAGCAAAAACGGGGCTTGTCAAAATTAGGGGTCTTTTTACTCAAATGGGAAAGGTTCCCCATGGTCATTTTGGGGGCCAGAAATATTGATCAACTCTCGGATACTTTGGAGATCTTTCACTGGACAACTGCACTGTTCTAGGCGTACCTTCCCCATTCTTCCAGGGATCCGGTTTTTCAAAAGAACGATGGTTGACAAGAATGGACAAGGAATCAACCCCTAGACCTAACAGCACCCTGCCATGGCGAGCCGCTTTCAAAGAGAGAGCGGAACACTTGGCTCAGCCTCGGTCAGATGTCAAACCCCTAGAACTGTTGTACTTTTAGAGAAGCATATTAACATTCTGAGGCTTTTAAAAAGGGGGCCTAAGTTGGGTTTTTTGCAGGAGGAAGCCATGGACATAGAGCTGTAAGGTTTTTACTCTTGGAGTTGCCAGGAGCTTTCTGTGGTGGCCGGCGCCCATCAGCAGATGAGGATCGCAGACTCACTCAGGGGGGGGCGGTGGGTTTGGAGGAAGGCTGGGTCCCTGTGGATGGACCAAATCCGTTCGCACCACTTTGAGACCGTTAGAAACCATTGCGTGTTGGCATTTTCAGGGGACTCACCAGAAACCAGGGATTCTTAAATGGTGCAGGATTCGTCCATCCACAGTATTGGACCGAGCTGAGAAGATGAACCCGGGCAAAAAATATCGCAAGCTCATTTGAGCCGCAGTCAAATCTGCTTGGAAGGTGAGGGGACAGTCCCGGCTTCGCAAAAAAAACATGCGGCCGGCCTTGAGCTGCGCAGGCCCCCACCTGCGACAGCTCAAACCTGCAGCTTCAGCTTTTTGCACAGGCAATAGCAAGTGAGAGATTCCACACGTTTAGTTATACAGATTCGCCCGGATGGATGCACATTCAGTTTCCGGCGACCACTCTGGGAAAAGGAAAAAAGGTAGCGACATTCCAACTGGGGTCTAAAATGAATATGAAACATAATCTGAACATATGGGTGTGGCTCAAAATGAAAGAGCCAGGGTTACGCATGTTTTAGTCTTTGGTTCCATCTACCAAAGTGCCATATGCTGGTACATGTTTGAGCCACAGCCATATGTTCTATGTACCCCACTGAGCCAAGACAAAGCCAGTTTGCGGCCTCACCCAGACGTCAGACCAACTGACTGGAGTTCAATGAGCCGTCGGCAGACTGGTTTCATAGCCGACTCACAACAGGTGAAGCATCGCAAGGAACCAGGATCTTGTTTAAACAAAAAAAAACTAGCTTGATTCCAGCCAGGTCTCTGGTGCTTGCGCGTTTGCGCTGAAACCCGCTTTTTGCGAGGCTGCTTCATTTTCCTTTTGGGAGGTCCTTGTGTGACATGATTGTGATCAGAGTATAGTGACCTCGCGGAGGGTGGGGGCAAGCATCCAAGGCGACCTCCGAAAGAGTTGCAACCTTTCTTATGATGAAGGTTCCTTTCATCGAGAACTCTGAATGTTGGAGTCACAAAACACTCAAATGATCCAAGGGTGGAAGGGTGCAAGAGCCCAGACCAGTTCCGTGTGAGCAGAGCCCACCCCTATCAACCATTTGAGGTGCGTCTACCTGATTTCATGAGGCTTAGGCCCATTAGACCTTTGCCATAGTGACAACAGTGACTAGTGACTGGCTATGGGGCATAAGACCGCAGCAACTCATGGCATGTTCTTCGCTCCCAGGAGCGAGGCTGATGGCTCCGGAGGCGAGGCGGAATTTCAAGTTTCGACCTCCAGGCAGTGCCGGTCCCGGACAAAAATAGTGGTCCCTAGTTGCCCAAAAGAAATCCCCCCAAAATGGTTGCGCCCGATGTTTTGTCCGGCAGATCTGGGGAAGAATTGGATGCCAAAGCTGTGTGTGTTTCGTCTAAGTATGCGTTTGTAGGCATTTTAGAGACTTGGAAAAACTAACATTTGGCGTTGACGCTTCGCAACTTTTCCGAGTGAAGATGGACCTTGGGGCTAGCTTTCTCGAATCGGGTCAAGACTTGCCTATCCAAAATGTAACACACCGATTATTGCAATGAGCGCTTGCTTCAAAGCTTGTGCGTATATATGTACAAGACAGACAATTGCGCATACCGCATTCAAATGTGCTGTTAGCAGCACATGCGTTCGATTTTCCCGCCCCAGTGCCAACCGGCATTTTGTTGTGAGCGAATGCTGGTTGCCCCAAGGTGAAAGCGCCATGTGCGGTCTCCAAACTAAGTTTTGGGTGCAGTTCCCTAGTTCCTCGTTTGGGTTCATTTTGTTTCCAATGGAAGTGGACGTTTTGAAGGTCCGTCCTCTTGCTGAATTCGTGGGTGAGGTTTGTTTTTTTCTTTTCCGCGCAGGGCAGGCTTGAGGAATCTTAGACCCAGCCAATCGGGAGTGATCCAGCTGCCTTCAAAATCGGCCCCCTGTGAAGCAACTGTCCACACTCTTTGTTTACCGAGCATGGGTGGACCGCTTTTTGTGCTGGTAAAGGGGTAAAGGGAAACCAAAAGGGAAAGGACACCTACCATATTGGGGGTCCAATCTTCAAAAAAGGACACACACACACACAATGAGTTACAATCAAAACCGGGGTAGATGAAGGTTAGTACGGGACGATCCCAACCAGAAATAGCTGGGGCCGCCTTCTAACTTCTTGAAGCATGGTTCTGGGTAGACCATTTTGATACCGGGTTTTGATTGTGACTCAAATGGGCATCTCATGCCGCCGTGTGTCCAAGGCATGCTGGATATGGAGGACTTAGCTGTGCCTTGGCCTCCAGTTCGCCATCCACCTTGCGGCCACGGATGGCTTTTGTGGGGACTCCTTTGGGGAATTCAATTCATTCAGTGAATGGTCGCCCAAATCCAAAGAGGTTGCCCGAATCCAAAGATATCACGGTGTGGAGGGCTTCCCAAAGACAACCTCCCCCCAACTCAAAAAGTGTTGGCCTTTTTCCCTTGACCACTTGCCGCTTACTTGCGTCACGATACCCTCCCAGCATGGGGCCCACCGGGTTGTCCCTAACTCAAGCCAGCATGGGCTGGGAGTCTGGGCAATGAATCCTTGCACAAAAGTGATGACCGCGCAAAAAGTTGAGCGCATGAATTCATCTTTCGACCACAAGGAAGATGCACATATGTCAAGCAGATGTTGAATACTAGTTGCTTTTCCCTGTTGCGTGGAGGTTTGAGGGTTCACAGCAAATATATGAGAGAAACATACTGTGAGAATGACAGTGACTTGAAGTCTTTTTGGAGTTGTTGGGATTTTTGTTTTTCAATGTTCACTTAGACTCATTATACGTGCCAACAGCGCCAAGTTGTTGGCCAACCCGGATTGAAGGAGGCCACTTGTTTGGTCTGGAACTCAGTCGTGGTTCTCCGCAGAAATAGCAAGATCGTGCCATGACTCATTGCTCTTGCGTGGATCATCGATTGGGAACGAGTTTGAATTATTTTGACCAAGGTCCAAGCATCAAGTTTGTTCTCCTTGCCCATGGCACAACCATAACCTGATCCTGGTTTTGGCCACCAAGCGTTCGCAAGTGAATTGGTGGATTTGTCTACCGAATATCACTCGCCCCTACGCAAATGGTGTTCACCAAATGGTCCCCGTTTCGAATCACGTGGCGATGGTGAACAGACCTGCTTACTCGGGATTCGTTGCGATGGTCAAAACACCCTGTGGAATCTTAGACAACCATTGCAAGAGTACCTCTTCAAAGAAAAGAACTGAACATGACCCGCCCTTCCCCCTTTCACGCAAGGGCATTGCGCATAAATGCGGTTAAAGCCTCCTTTTGTCTGATAACCCCGGGCACCCCATCACAAAGAGTCACGAAGTCGTGTTTGCCGGAGCCGAGGGCTCCACTTTTTGACTAAACCCAGGGGTTTCCCTTTTGGGGGAAATGGACCACCCCTTGGTTTACGTCTACCCTGTCGTCCCGAAGCCAAGTCTCAGAAAGCTTTGGGTCAATCCGCCACGAGGCGTTAGGCGGCCGCCTGAACTGCTGCCCCTACTTTTTGTCTCGGGCCGCGCTGGCGAATGCGGAGCTGGTGATTTGCCCGCACCTCCGAAAGATCGGTCCAGCGATTGCTTTCGTTGCGGGAATTCGTCGACATCCCAGGGTTCTTGGTGGCATGGGGTTGTCTTTTGTTTGAGGCTCGGTGGACTTGTTGGGGTCGTTTTATAGGGGAAAGGAAGCCACCCAGTTTTTGGATGCCCGAGTTTGACTCAAACGTCGCGGAAAAAAGCTTAGGTTCTTTGAGGGGTTCGCGCAACCTTACAAACAGTTTATAGTCCGTTTGGGATGGACATGGGAAACTCACTAAAATGTCCTACAAGACGCCACAGGGACGCTCATTTTCCAATGGCAAGCGTGACCCTTTTTGCGGCACACACGTGGCTCACCGATCAGTTTGGTGTCTTTGCGGAGCACCGCTACAGCTGCCCCAGGGGGTTCAGCTCAACCTAAAATTCGGGCTACTCTTTTCAATTCAGAGAGCCCTCAACGGGGCTCGCTGTAACGGGTTTGGATTTCAGGCAGTGCCCGAGTAAAAGGCACTTCTCTGGCTTAAAACAGTGTCTATCTCATCACAAGCACAGCTTTTCACTTGGCTTAAAACCTGAGTCGATCAACCTCAAATTGGGGCTGCTCTCTTAACGGGCTCTTCTCGCTTGGCTGAACACATTGTTTATCCCATCACAACCACACAACTGTTCTGATTTCAACCCCTGGCGTGTGCAAGCCTTGCTTTTCCATAGGTGATTTTGCCCTCGCTCGGGCAGACACCCAGGTTTGCCTCTGCTTGGAGTTTTTGTTAGGTACAACTACCTTCTCGGGGAGCAGCTGGCGGTGGCGATGGGACTGGACGAGAGCCTCTCTTTGGCATTGGGATTCTGCCGATTTTGTGGAGCCAAAGAGGCCATTGTTAAATTCACCAGGAAACGAAAAGTGGTGCACAGGTGGTGTATTGGCATCTTCCCAGATCTTATTCGGCACCCAGTTTTTTCTGGTCACCTGGAGGCAAATCGAGGTCAGGATTTAAATCCATTACTTGGATCCCCTATTCCAGGTGTCCGAATAAATTTGCAGAAGCGTACCATGCCTGCGCTTGTGATATCCTTTGGGTAATCCGTTCCAGGCTCAAGGGCTGGCAGTGGACACGGATTTACCGGGCGGTTGGCACACCCCCAACTCCAGAGACTCGCTCTTCGCAGTTTTGGGGCCGGTGGAAGGCAAGTGACGCCTTGGAAAGCATGAAGGCCCTCAACAAAAACAGAGTTTGGGTCCGGGGATGCGCCGAGTGGTGCTTGCTCTTTCCGCAGGCACTCCGACACCTAACTGTTCAAATGCCCCACTTGTGTATCGCAGGAGCATCACATGCACACGTGTTCTGAGTTCAACAGCTGAACAATCGCGATTTTTCAGCTGAAGCTGCCAAAGCGTGCCTCGTGCGCTACATGTGTAGTAAAAGGTCGCGACGAGTTTAAAAGGGCAGAGAATATGGGGAGTTGAAAATGACAACCCCAAACGTCAACTCAAGAACAACTAGTGACTAGTGTTTTGCACATCCTCACATGCCTAAGGGTCTGTGGCAAGGTCAGGGTTGCCCATGAAGCCTTCAAGATATCCTATGTGGGACCAATTGTGTTCAAACAGTCAAACACGCCGTACTTTCTTGCTTTAAACAGTTGGATGTGTCATTTGTTTGGGGGGAAACCCTTTTTGGCTGGTATCAACGGGAAACCGATTTCGGAAACCCACCAATTTTCTGGGTCACACACAAAACAATCTGGGCTGATCGAAATCAGGAACTGGGATCATGTCCTTCAAATTTGCCCAATGGCCGACTTTGACTTTGGCGTATTTTTTTTGGTTTTTGAAAGGAACAGCAATCCAGCAATGGTAAGAATTGGTTGACAATGGAAGAATTCCAGGATTCTGGTTGACTCAGTTGCCCAAAGCCAACCTTTTGACCTTTTGGTTTTCTTGTTTGGGTCCATATTTAGTCATGGCCCCAAAAGGAGATCACCTTTTAGTCCCAGGTCCTTTAGGTCCTTTGGGCAACTGAGTTGACACTTCGCAAATCCAGCAATAGAATTGGGCAAGACTATGAGCAATGGTAAGACTTCCAGCTCAATCTCACTTCACGGGCGAGCCGACAAACGTAATCACAATCCGTTATGTGCTTGACATCTGCACACCAAAATGCCCGAAACACGCTTGTGTCAAACTCATTGAACAACATTAAAGCACAAGGTGTTATTGTTATGGTTTCCACCATGTATGCTCAAAGTAAGTCAAAATGATCAATGGGCCTTTGGAACAATTATCTGGTTAGCAGGACGCCACCGTTCTCGATTACACAGCCCCGAGCGTCATCAATCAGAAGGGCACATTTGTTATGAGCAACCGTCCATATTTTTACCGTCTATTCCTTGGTGCATTTTGCCAAGGGATGTTAGGACTGGAGAGCTTTTTACCAACTAGTGGGATTTCCATTAAACCACTAAACGTTAAACTTTTAGCAGGGGAGCAAGCTTCAGCATGGGCCGCCCAAAGAAACCTGGCGCCCCAAAAAGTGATTCACTTTTTGCAGGGGGGTTGTTGCAGCAACCAAGAATGAATCTTGACTTGCTCTGAGGAGACATCGTGATCATCGATGAGGGTCATAACCTGGAAGACTACTGCTGCGAGGCATTTCCTTAGCCAAGGGCCCCCCTGGCCGCCCCCCCTCGGGAGTCCAGACATTTGCCTTTTTGGTCTTTCTCCAGATTTGCCCACGAAGGTTCCTCAATGTTCCCAGGGGCTGAGAAACCAACCTGAGCTCCTAACGTTCCATACAGTAATGATTCATTAGTATAAGATTGGTATGACATTGGTGTATATATATATATATTGGTATATAATTGGTATGACATTAGCATAAAATTGGTATGAATAAAATTATTGTTAGAGGCAGGCCCTAAGTAATGAATCACCATGCCACAGGTGTTGCCCATAGGACTCCAAACATGGCAACTGCTGGTGCTTCAGGCAGATCCTATCGCCTGATTCCTAGAATGAACATGGAGTTGCTGGCGATGTTTTTTCTTCTCGATGGCATGTGCCATGGTAGGCCGACAAGTAAATGCAGTGGGAGAACTGGCGTCCATCCTGCAGAGATTACACTGGCTTCATGATTTTACCATGATCAAAGTCAGCCCCTCAGTGGGTTAAAGGGAAATAGCCGATTCCATTTTCTGACTTTGAGGACCTCTCAGAAATCGTCAGTTTAGGAGGCCGTTGCCTCCAGAAGTTTCCAGAGTGCCCAGTGATTTCAGTGGCTGTCAAGTCAACGCCGATGCCCGCTTTCCACAGCCCGTCTATACCCCTCAGCCAGTTGGCGCTAGGCGCTTGGCAACAGCTTGATATCTCCGTGCCACGTCCTACCCAGAGGCTCCGGGCTTCGGCTTTCAATGGAAGACCCGAGCCCGAAGCATTAGACACCCCGGGAATTGGTGGTTGGGGCCCGGTCTCAAAACCAGGTTGTTTGAAGGCCCATCAATCGAATTGGAGCCTCTGGGTAGACATCGGACCAACCCCTTGAGGCTGGATCCCGCCCTTCACATCCCGATCCAACAGAAGGCCAGCTCTGCTGGGCGGCAGTTTTTCACAGAAGTCCACACTGGAGGGCGCTGTTGTCCCCACCGGTTTGTGTCCCTCTGAACTTTTGGACCACCATTCTGAAATCTGAGATCCTAGTACTGTATCTTAAAGACCAACCCAATATGTCCTTCTCTTGTTGATTCCCTTCGCTGGTTCCTGTTCGTGCCGTCAGATTGGTTCGGAAAGCGTCACCGGCAGCACGTTGCTGGAGATCTTAAACCGCATCGAAGAAGCCGAGATATACCTCCAGGTCGGGGTACGAGCTCGCAGTCTGTAGGCAGATTGGATCTTCTCAAAAACAGGTCCCCTAAAAAGCTCGGTTTCCTTTGGGGTTTCCCTTATCAACCGAATCTGGCTGGTGCTCAGTAGGGAATCTTGGAATGGACCAACGGATCCCCCTTAAAGGAAATCACCAGGGATGGTTTATAGGCGTCATTTCATTTCTCATTCCCTGCCTATCGCACCAGCAACCAAATGGGGCTCCATCGTTTTGGGCCACTCCCGTTCAAGTCCGCAGAAGTCGCCAGTCGCCACGCTCGCAGGAGTTCCGCTCGGAGGGCGTCGACTTCTTGCGGCTGAGCCTCGTGAAGACCACAGTGCAGGCCGGGCGAAATCTGTCGCGTCCACTTCCCTGTTTGCCATACCTAGGTCCCCCAGTAGTGCCCTTGGAGCCCTTTTTTGGCTGGGAGGGTAAAATAGACTACAGGAAAAAGGGCACCCTTATTCGAACCTCTCTAGAGGACCTAGATACAGTGGGATTTTTGTTGGGTGCTTTTGCCTCTTAGTGCATGAGTCACCAGTGGACTAAAACCACTTCAGTCGATAGGTGGTTTCATGCTTCCACTTCGCAGTCGGTAGGGTGGTTTATCCCAATACTTTCAGTTTATGACATGGCTGTGGGTCAAAACCAATGGTACCGTTTTGGGGTAGGTGCACCACCCATTTTAGTCGAGATTTTAGTGGGGATTGGGATGTTCACTGGGGGTACGGGATTTTGACCCATGGCCACATTTCAAATGTGGCCAGCCGACCGAGAAAGAACACCCCCCAAGACAGCCAAACACCGGCAAGGGTGACCAAATTTATCAAAATCCGTCCTACTATAGAATAGGCGGCATTCCCCTCCACGAGTGATGATTCCCCACCAAAAAGGGGACGCCCCTGTTCATCAGCCAAGGTTTTATTAATCAGGGTTCCCATTCAGGCACCACCAAAACACAGGCAGGCACCAGAGACGCCGGGAATGCCACAAGAGACAGCCTGAGAACAACGAGATGCCAAACAGCGAAGACAACCAAAAGACCAAACACCGGCTCCAGATAAAAGCAACCACGCTCTTAAGCGAAAACCAGAAGTGGATGGATGAGTTGACAAGTTTCCCGGACCCAGTTAAAATTATAAATGTGGGGGTGTTCTCCTCCGGAAGTGATAACTCCTTCCACGTGCTAATAAACAGGGGTATATTATTCCGGGGTCAACATGATATGAGTGTGTCTTAAAATGGGGAACCCCAAAATGGCGGGTTTGCCCTTCAATTTCTCTTTAAACCAACCCATAAAATAGGGAACCAGCAAAAAAACAGAGACAGCCATATATGTCTAGGTTCCCCAGTAGCGCCCTTTTACCAACTTTTTTGGGGGAGGGTTCCCCTACTAAAACAGACTAGGGAAGAAGTTGGTATCCTTATTCTATCCTCTGAAATCTGGAGGACCTAGATGTATGTGCCGGTTTCTTGCCCTGACTTGTTCTCCGGAGTTCCCTCCCACTTTCCCCCAAACGCATCCAGAGCCTTTCCCGTCCCAAGGGTCCTGTAGTACCATGTACCTTGCTGGATTGGAATTTCCGCGTGCGGAGACAGGTTTTCAAGTCTTGGGTTCATGTGTATTGAGGTTCGGGTGTGGGAATTTAGGTTGGTTTGAGCTGGGTTTTGGATTGGCGCCGATTGGCGTCTGGTCTGTGGATGGCGCTTTCGCCGTTGATTTCTGGGGGGAAACGCAACTTGGCCAGTGCTCCAGTTCTGCTCCGCAGAGCTCTGCTCCGCAGAGCAGATGATGTCTCACGGGGCTTTTTTTTCTTCTCCGAATCAGACCTACCAGGCCTCTGACAGACTCTGAAGACCGTTCAACGGAGCCCAAGTTGAGCTCTTTGCGTATTGAAGCCTATGGAAATCATCGCAATAGTCCTAGATGTTTAGATTGAGGCTTCTGCAAAGAGAAGAGATCTGTTGTATGTTGTCAGATCTCGCCTAGCTGTTGTCCACCATCATCGTCAGTCGTTGATTTTGGAAGCGCATGTTTCCGGACCTGTTTGCTAGTTGCTCAAGCTGTTTGTCGACTCACTTCCTGAGGGACTATCCAGTCACTTTCTGGGAAGACCATCTGAGTGGTAACACCATCTGAAGACCATCTCGGAAGACCATTAGTCACCATTGGCCCGTCCACTCATAAAATGTGAGTCGAGGTAGTGTTTGAGTGTTTGCATGTTGAGGCGATCCAGCGACTTTGCTCTGCCGCCTGGCAACATTTGGCTATGGCTCAAAAAACCGGAATTCCAAAATGGGTTGCCCGATCGGTAAGTGGAACCATGGACCAAAACCTGCGGTTTGCCCCATTTGAGCTGCTTAATTTTGAGCCACACCCATTTGGCAACGTTGGGTTGGCAACGTTTGCATTGCCTTGTCTTTGCTTGGCGAGAATGTCCAGATCAGAAAAACAAGCCCAAAAAAAAGCACTGCGGATTCATCGCAGGGCCAGGTCTTATTTTACAGAGGAACATATCCTTTTCTGGGGGGGGGCATTTGTTTGTTAAATGAGTCATCTCATAAATCCGAACCTCTCGTGTGCCCAGGAAGTGATGGATGTGGGGCCCGGATCCACATGGAATTCCACCCTGGAAGCCCGCCCCAGCGTCATGGAGTTTCTGGACGCTCGCCGGGAGAGGCGATTGGCACCAGGCTTTTTTCACCAAAATAAAGCTTGCCCCAGGCTTTTTTGCGTGATTGGACAGGGCTCCTTAAAAGATCTCCATTTTGCAACCATTTGAAACATGTTTTTTTCCACCAAAATAAAGAGAAACCACCATTTACAAGGCAATGTTCAGGTGTATAGTGTAAGGATCCCTGTTGGAACTGGCAGATTTGTGCGGGGCTCAATTCTAGGGAAGCGAAGCATTTGGCCATTCGGCCACCCTTCGTTCATGAACTGGCCGCTTTTTGATGGGCGAATGGTTTTGCAATTTCTGGGTGGGCCAAATCGGCTTTCTTTTGAATCTTGAGCCTATTTAATGCTTGGATCTGTTTTTGGGAATAGCAGACATTGATTGGGTAAATAAATGACAAAGCAAACCTGACTAGCGATTGAGTCACATGACATGGGGAATTATTTCGGGTTCTCGAGGGCATGAGAAAATGAGCCTGAGACATTGGTTGAATCGTGGGCAGGTTTCTTGCTTCGTGAAGAATAGGGACCCACAGTCTCTCTCACGACCCAAAACTGCGACAAGAGGCAATGCTGAATGCTCAGTAGATCCTAGCTCTGCATTAAGAGGCTATCCTGAAACTTGTCTGAGATCGAGGACTGGTTGATGACCATAGCAAACCCCGGCCGTTGGCGTGTGCATGTTTGGCTTACCCGGTGCCTTTGGGGCCAGGGTTCACTCCACAAAGCAGTGTTTGCCGCTTTGCAGCTTGACACCCAACAAGATTTGCTCAACCGCAGCTAAATTTGGGCTGGTTGCCGATGAACTGTGGCCTTTTTAAAGCCCTAGCGGTCGCAGAGACTTGCCTGTTCAGGTTTCCGACTGCATTGTTTCTTCCAAGCTTCTTTTGTATCTTTGAAAAGGCTGTTCTGTCCTAGTCAACTTAGCAGGCCGCTGCACAGATTTCACTTGCTTGCACACACAACTCCCCACGCACACTCCGTTGAAGAGCAGTCTCCTTACACTCCCAGAGATTCGGGGTCATACCTTGACCACGTACAAAGCACTGGGCAAAATGCCCATATAAATGTTGGGGTCCACGTCTTATCAAGTTTTCTCTGGTAGATGTTCAGATGTTGAGATCCGAGTTTTTGTTTTAATGCAGCGAGCTGATCCGAGGAAAGAGCGGGGGTGGAGCAGAGCTTCGTGGGAGCAGTGCGGCACTTTCAAGAAGTGCACGGTGCTCAGCGAGTTCGTTCAGTCGGGATTTCTCTGAAATGTTATGGGTGAAGCTCTCCAAACCAGGGACTTTGGTGGTCGTTTTTTTCGGTTTGCCCGTAAAAACCATCCCCTACTGGGCGTTTGCTTCTGCATGCTCCCAGGTGTTTCAAGAGTCTTCGACGAACAGAGGCGAAAAAATCCGGAACCAGCTCGAGCTGGTTCCAGCAGGCCCAGGTCCTTGGAACTTTGCATGCGATAGGGAGCGCAGTTCTTCAGTGGCGCCAATTCCTCACTTCCTGAGTTGGTGGACTTTAAACTTTTTGGAAAGACCATTTTAGTGGTAAATAAAAAGTTCAAACTTTTTTTGGCCAGTCAACTTGGGAAGTGAGATTCTTGTGCCCTTTTTGTTTGGTGGCTGCCCCACTAAAAATGCGTTTGTGTTCCAGGGTCACTGACTGAGGGAATGAGTTGGAATGAACCCCCGATTGAAACCATCCAACTGGTGGTTTCGCATCCCCTACCACTCAGCCAGCCAGAGGGTTAGACCAAGATAACAACACAAGACAAACACAAAACAATAAAAACAAGCGCAACAGCACATACACAAACAAAACAAAAACACAAAAACGAACGAACAAACAAACAAACAAAAACAAACAAACAAACAAACAACCAAACAAACAAACAAACAGGCACTGAAACAAGGGCGCAGCATGCGAAGCTCCGACACCCCGCCCCGAGGCTTCAAGGCCGCCGCGGTGTCGCCGGAAGCGCACGAATGGAGGGCTTGTCCATGCAGGCGAGTCGGATCTGCGGAGCGAAGAGAATCGCCTGGGGGTTTTGTAAAGGCAACGTCAACTTACCTCTTAAAAGGCAACCTCCTTCAACTTTTTGGGTAACATGGGCTATATGTCTGTAAGAGATTAACTTCCCCAGGGCTTGGAGTTTTAAGGGGTAAGTCAAATGGTGGAACATGGCCACAAAACACGGGCGGTCACAATTACCCTGCCTGGATCTCCTGGATCTTGGTTCCAGACAGCATTCCGACCTAGTCGTTGATATTGATACTGATAGAATAACTTTAAAGCCAGGGCGGAAAAGTGCTTGTGTTTCTTTAGAGTACTGCTTTAAAGGTAATCGGATTGTAACGTGTCCGGCTTTCAACTGGGTTGACAGTTCTTTAGAGACCTTGTCAGCTTAGCGGGCTTTGGCCACGGGTGCTTTCCCGGCAAATTGCGACACGGGTGGGTTGAACATAAGTTTGCAGGGGACACTCACTCCATTGGAGTTCAATTTGAACCTGTGGCTTGTGCCTGCTCTCGGGGGACCAATCTGTCTTTATAGCCATTTGGTTGGATCTTTGGATTTTGACTTTTTTGTTGAAACAGGCCGGATTTTCCATATTGGACCCACTGCATTTGCAGAGGGGTAGTAGCAGTGGCAACTTCAAGTGTAGAGTATCTATTGGATAGTTCAACTTTATTTCGTGGTGTGTGCCTTCTCTTGGGGCAAACTGTGGAGTATCCATGCGCCAACTAGAAAAAAAGCGCATGCAATGTGCGTCTCAGAATATGTTTGTTGATCCCCTCTTGGTCTTAAACAGAATCCATCACCACTGGAAGACCCTGTCTTTTGGGATCGCCAAAACAAAACAGCAAGACGACAAACTCGGGCCCACTGAAAAAGATAATACAAAATCGCGTTTCTTTGGATCGCCCACCCAAAGAAAAAGCAGCAAACAACTCGGCCGAGCCTGTGGTTTTTGGGGCCCCAGCACGAGAAGAAGCCCTCGGCCCAAGCGGTCCCTTCGTTAGGTGCTGAAGTCCCTTCGGGAGCTCGAGGGCCTGGCCGCCGCCCTTGCGCCTCGGAGAGGATGGCTTTTCGGCCGGCGGTCCACCGAGCGCGCGGGGCCGGCGTTTTCTGTTTGTTTTTGTGGCGGGGGGGGGGTTGTTTTGGAACGCGAGGTCTAAGGGCCGGCTGAAAATGGTGTTGCTTCCGGAAAAACTGTAAAACACGTGCCAGGGGGCCATTTCATGTTGGCAACCCTTGGGATGGACGCACGGACGGACGGACGGACGGATGGATGGATGGATTGATGCGTGATGCTCTCGCCAGCGCAATCGCCTTTTCGCAAGAGTCATCACGGCAATTCTGTTTCAACATGCTGCTGCCTTTCTATCTTGGTGAAAGTATGGAGGTGGGAGGCGCACAACCATGGCATGAAAACTCCATGGCCGACCGGCATAAGGGCAAGACAGGGTGACGTCCTAGGGCAGCCTCGCTGCCTTTGTAAACGGAGGTATGCGGCTGACGCTTTGCATGACAGAGCACCCCACAGACTGGACAACACCTGCTAAACATCATACGTCGTCCAGAAAGTTGATACCACAACAGTGCTTGCCCTGTTTGCAACCCCTTCCTTCCCTCCAACAAACATAGCACCTGTGGGTACCTCGAAGATGGTTTTCCTTTTCCGGGTGCCCCGCGCCAGTTGCCATTTGAGTGGGAGGGAGGGAGGGTACATATCCGCCTCTCCCGATTCCCCTTTGAAAGCACAAACTGGTGTGTCCCAAATGCGGGCGACCATACTCATAACGTCTGCAAACCCTTCTTCAATAGAGTTAGATGAAAGCCCAGTTGATCCCCCCACCCGTTTGGGGATTCTCCCATTTCAACAGATCCCCAACTTGCCTGTTCAATTTCCAATCTTGAAACTGCTTGTTGCCGGGTTTCTCCCTCATCATTCAGTTTGGGGCCAACAAGAAAACCTCAGTTGTTCAGTGGCACCCGTTTTCCCCCTTTTTTTGGTGGCCCCACTAAAAATGGTCTTCCTCAAAAAGGGTTCCCTTTTTTCTTCCAGGGTCACTGAACAACTGAGAAACAGAAAACTGGGTTTTGTTTGCCAGCAACTCATCTCAGCCGAATGCGAAGTTCTCGGGAAGCGCAGCTCAGGCACGCTGCATCGAGGCGCCTCGCCAGTTCAAGCGCCTGTGAAGCAAGGTGCCCCCTCCAAACCAAACCCAAAAAGGTGGAAGAAACGTATGGAAAAATACGGAATGCCATTGATATCATGAAAGTATTTCAGATTGGTGGGTTGGTTTTTGGAGTGACTTTCTTGTGTTTGTAAAAACACGTTTGAATTGGTTCTCATCTCGGCTTGATCCCCGAAAGTCCCCTTAGGGATGAAGGCACTGGGTGCCTTGAGTTCCGTCAAGGTCTCGCACTTGAAACTGAAGTGGCTACTGAGGCTGAAGCAATAGCTCCAGCTTCGTAATTGCTAGTGTCCTGAGTGTCCTTGGTCAAAGCCGTGGCAAGTTTGCTCCTCATCGCAAAACGTCCAAAAAACAAAGGCTTAACATCACTGTTGGCAAGTCTCCTTATCGCAAAACGACCAGGCAACAAAGACTTAACTTCACGGTCGTTGGCAAGTTTGTATGTGTCTCTTCTTTTTTCCCCTGCGTTGTTCATGTTTGGTAGGGGGCTGAAAAAAATACAGCTGTTTGCTACCATAGCGTTGTAATGTCAAGGTAGAGCATGTCTATCGGATGAGATGTCTGCCCTTCACTGGGTGAGAAGCACCTCTTGAGTTCTTTGGCAATCCAAGAGCTCGATGTTTTACCTATCCAGCGGTATCCAGATATAGATGAAGGTTGGTGAGGGGCAGTCGCCATTGGGTAGACCATGCTAATACCAGGTTCTGATTGGGAATCAAGTGAGAACTGTGTTCGAGTTCGCTTCTCGCTATTTGGATTCCATTGGACATGGAACTATCCAGGTTGGCTGAGGGTTCCGCTGCATTGGCTAAGGCATGTCCGAAGTCTGTTTGCACAAGTCATAGGGTATTCCATGTTTCTGGCCAGAGAGCAAAGATAGATGTGTCAGATGTCATTAAGTCTGCTCTTGGACGCCTGGGTTGAGTTGGACTCATGCATCATGCGAAGGATTCGTGTGTGTGCAAGAGCGCCGGTTCTGACCTACGGGTGCCATTGGATCAGATGCTTACATTAGAGCAAGAATCTGAGTTGTTCAGTGGCACCCTTTTCCGCTTTTTTGTAGTGGCTGCCCCACTAAGAATGGTCTTTCCAAAAAAAGGTTCCCTTTTTTCCAGGGTTACTGAACAACAGGAATGCAACAAGGCAAAAGATGGCTGACAAAACACTCGAAAGCAAGGCGGGGGTTGGGCTTTGCCTGTGGCAAGCATGCAGACCTCGCTCACCAGCATTCCCCGGCAGATTCTTGAGCCGGTTTGCATTTGAGACTCCTCTAGGCAAGCCCTCAAGGGAATGCTTCTATACCCTTTCCCAACTGGTTGCCTACTGTAGCGGTATCTGGGATTCACTGGATGTTGCGCAGCGTATATTTCTTTGGCTTCCAGACCGAGTGGGCTGGGGTAACGGAATCTCTTGCATATACAAGGTGAAACGAGGATCGGCAAGCTGGCTCAGTGGATTGTCTTTAGCTATCTCAGGAAAGAACCTGCTGGCCGCACTAAAACGCCAAGTGGGGGCCAGGAGGCTGTGCCTTTTCTGAGGGTACCCTTTTTGGTTGGTAGAAGGGGAAATCAAAAAGGGGATCCGACAGGCGTAGAGGGGCCCGTCGGTACGAGGTTGGTGTTTTTTTTTTTTTTTTTTTTTTTTTTTTTTTTTTTTTTTTTTTTTTTTTTTTTTTTTTTTTTTTTTTTTTTTTCGGTTTACCTCAGACACTGAATCAGCTTTGGCCCAGGTTTCTCAGGTGTCGACAATGACTAGGTCCCCCAGTAGTGCCCTTGTCTTGGATCCCTTTTTTTTTGGGGGGGGGGTTCCCCTACTAAAATAGACTACAGCAAAAAGTTGGTACCCTTATGCTAACCTCTCTACTGGAGGACCTAGATGAGAAGCGCCATCCTTGGTACCCTCCCACCCTTTAGTATGTTCCGTGTTGGTGGAAGGCATATGTTTTTCAGGTCGTGTACTAACCCTCCCACCAATTAACATCTAACCTGAAAGGGGTTGCATTTAACAGGACATTTGCCCCAACCAGGACCAATTCCAGGAAGGTCCGGTTCCATGTGAATTGGTGAGAGGGTATCTTGGATTTGAAGCAGACCTCAGGGCCACTTGAATCGGAGCGCCCCAGGATTCACTTGGAGGCTGTCGGAGTGTCCGCTCGCGGAACTGTGCGAAGCTCGCAGTCGCAGAGGGCCAGCCAGGAAGGGGTGTGCGTCGGGGTGTCCAAAGGAGGTGAGTCGGTGAGTTCTTAAGGGAAATCTTGGGGTTTGCCAGGAAGACCAAGGGACATTTCCAGTATGTGTGGGAGATAGTTTCAAACGAAAACCAAAGAGATTCACCTCTTGTTGTGCAAATGATGCCCTTTGCTCGGTAGTTTTCAAAGCGGACACCAAAACATTCATCCGTAAAACAGGGTGGGTAGTGTTTAATTTGTCCTCTTGAAGGTACTTACTTTTGCTGGGTGGCTTTACTCGGAGCCCAGGGAAAATCATCCAATTGTATTGTTTCTGACCGGGTAGCTTTTGGGGCCCGGTGCAAACGGCTGGAAAGCCGCGGGCAACCAAGCAGTTGCGTTCCCTCTTTGGGCTTCTCTTCCAGGCACTCCAACAGATCCTTCCCAGGAAACCTCTCTCATGGTTTTCCATTTGCAAGCCCTGCATTTCGACAGCCAGGCACTCCAAAAGATCCTTCCCAAGAAACCTCTCTCACGGTTTTCCATTTGTGAGCCCTGCATTTTGACAGCGGAAAGGGAACCTGAAGGTGATGTATGACGTCCTTGTGGTTCTAGCTGAGAGCCAGCTTAAGCTTCACAAAAAGGAGGGTGGGTCTTATAGGAAGATCCACGTCGGTGTCCGTTTGGCCCTAGGATCATGTCATCATGTCGCGATGTCGGTTTGATCATGTGGCAACTCGCGCCAGACCTTTCGTCTCGAATCGATCTGTCAGGAAGCCACGGTCGGCGCGTCGGACTTTGAGCTTAGCATCTTTGCTATTGGCTGCAACGGGATTCCAAAGCCGTCAACTTTTACGGGGGCTCTAAAACAGCTGGTACAGGAATCGTTCAACTGGCCCACATCTATTTGAGAAACCTTGAGGTCAGCCTTTGCTTTTGGTGGGCCAGAATCAATGGATGTGCCTTTTTTCCAAGGGAACCACCCGTTTTGAGGCAGGGCTTACCACTTGGTTTCTTTCAACACCATGCAAAAAAAAAAACGAGTTCGAAGGCCACCAACATCAAGTTGGGTGTCCTAATCCAAAGCATTTTTCGCCTTTAGGTGAACTGACCATTCCGAAGTCTTGACAAGCACCCTTCAGCAGTTGGATTCCAGTAGTACTCCCGCAGAGCTGGGCGCTTTTGTCCTTTCGATGGCTTAGTTTGGCCAGAAATTGATGGGTTCTGGTTTAGATTGGTGTTCTTGCTCATTTACGCGGGGCCTTTTTTTATACCAAAAGGATACCTATGGCTGGGTAGAACAGCATTGGGATTCCTTTGGTGTTTCTTGGAAAGGCGGGAGCCTCCAGATGGTTTACATATAACACCATTTATCCCTACCTCTTGGACACACAAAAGAAGTTATGCGGGACTGGCGGTCGCTGTGAGTGAATTTACACACGCACACACACTGAAAGAACCCAAGAGGTCAAGAATCATGCCCGACAGTAAGAGTCCAACAAACATGTGTGAACCATTGAGCCTTTAGTCAATGGAGCCATCCACCTTTACGAGTTTGGTTGAGTTTGGGACTGGGGTGCTGCCGAATTCTATGGTTGCACTTGCTTTTGCCGGGACTCGAAAATGCCGCTGGGGAGCCCCGGGCCTGAAGTCTGACAGACCTGAAAGCGTGTGCTGCGCGAGAAGAGAACCTCAAAGATTCACAAATGGTTTTTTGGGGCGCCCATTTTAGACATGCCCCTCATCATCTCTGTGCTGAGGTATTCTTCTTGTCCGGCCAGAGGCAGGGTGATGGATCCGGTCTGAGAGTTCATGTGTCGATGCGCTCATGCGCGACTCTTTTTCCCTCACCATGGTGCAAGGGGCCATTGTAATCTTTAGGACATATACAGTTGGCGATCTCGCCTGGAGTACGAGGGGCTCAGACATCATCCAAGCACCTGATCTATGCATGCCTGCCTTTCGGCGAGCTCTGAGCAATGTAGAACGCAACTAGCACTTCCACACGTGATGAGAAATGTGTTCAGGGGGATTCTTATGTTTTTTGGTTGGAGTCGGCTTGCTTGCTTGCTTGCTCGTTTGCCTGCTTGCTTGCTTGCTTACGTCTAGTAGTTCACAGAGGAGGCGGCATTCCACTAAGGAATGCCCAATAAGATTCCAATGAGGTGTTGGGCCTTCTTGCGAATAAGTGGCAAGTTTGGGGACGGCTTCCTCCTGGCTTCCCCTTCGTCCCCCCTTTTGGGGTACTGGTTCCGGCACGCTTCGGTGAACTCTTTTTGTGACCTCGCCTGTTTTCACGAAAGCCAGCCTTGAGGAAGGTGTCAGCTGAGTTTTATTGAGCGAAGTGAGCAGTGGCAGACGGAGAGGGGATTCGAGGTGGCAGATGCCTGTTTTTTGGGCGATTTTTTGCGGAGGTGAAGGGCTCGAATCACCCCCCGCTTGCGGTTGTTGGGGAGCGTTTTGGTCAAGGGCTATACCAACTTGTCCGCGATGGGTTTTGAGCCCCCCGCCCCTTGAGCTTCTTGCAGGAGCTAGGGGCAGCCAATCAGCTTCCAATCTTCCGCTGCAATCAACTTGCTCGGAGAGCAGCGCACACATGGCTTTCTTTCCATGAGAGTGTGTGCGCTTGCCTGCAGATGCTTGAGCTGAGCATCAGCAGATAGCATTACATAGTGCGCGCGGTCGCTCTTAATCCAGCTGCCAATGTCTGTGTTTCTGTTTCTTCGTAGCTCTCTCAAGCACCGCAATTGTTGACATGTGTGTGTGTTGAAGGAAAAACGGGGGTCGCAACGCGACAGCTTCGCAGTGCTCGGCACGAAACAGCCAAGGATTAAGCGCAGTGTGGGGCGGATCGCTTGGACACTTCAGCGTTTTTTGTTTTTTTGTTTTTTTTTCCCAATGCTGCTACTTCCTGGCTGCCCGCTGATCCACTCCACCGCGTGCTCGCTCACACACTGCAAATCGGTCCCTTGCCGTTCTTGTCGCCTTTGCATTCTGAAGTGGATCGGCTTGAAGTCCATCTTACCACCAAAGCTCACGAAGTGGGCGGTCCTTGTTTTTCAGGCCTGATTTGTGCCTCCCCTCCCTCCCCTCCCCTCCCCCTCAGGTTATGATTGAACATGTTTGGCTCGGAGGCGGTCTTCCAGCCGCTGGCGGACTCGGCGCACTGCGTCATCGTGGCCAGCGGAACCTTGGCCCCGGTGGCCGCCTTCCAAGTGGCACTGGGCCCCGCCTTCTGCAACAGGCACGGGGCGCTCGGGAGAGGTCCTGGGAGCTGCTGCGGGCGGGCGGGGGGGCGAGGGGGGGTCTGGAGTCGCGTCTGTTGGTGGAAGTTGCCTGGGTTTTTACGGCAATGCGGTTTCCTGGTTTGATCCATGCCCATGTTTTTCTTGTCCGGATGCTAGGAAAGCTCCCAAGGGTGCTAGCAGAACATGTTTTTGCCGGGCTTTGCAGAAGCAACATGAAAAGGTTGCCCTTGTTGGGAAAAAGTGACGCTCTCCGTCGAAGAGGCAGGCAGAGTTGGAGGTCCAGCATCCCCCTTTGCGCCGTGTGGCTTGCGGGGCCCGGTTGCCTCCGCAGGATTGGTGCTGAGTGACGCTTTGTCCTCAACAAAGCCATCCCATTTGAGTTCAATATAGCTTTTGGGTTCATGTGCCCTTTTGCCCTCTTGTCTGGGATCTGTTTAAACATTATATGAGTTGTGCTTGGGAGAAAACACTGAGGTAGTGTTGGCCTCTCTTTTTTTGTTATGCTGACGTCGAGACACTTATGGTTACGTTGTTGTTCCAGTTTAAGGCAGCTTCCTTCAAGTGGAGCATGACGGGAACACATGCACATACGAAACGAGCCTTGAGAGACCAACATCCCTCACAGGTCTCATGTTGGATCTTATTTGGTCAGCAATATGTCCCATTTGGGCCAAGTCCCCTACAGAATGAGGTAGAGTGTGAGATAACTTGCTGGTGCGATAGGCAAAAATCAAAATTGGAACGACCCCGATTTAAACCATCCAACTGGTGGTTTCCTTTAAGGGGGCCAATTCCTGAGTTCTTCCCACATTCCCTACTGAGCACGCAAAGGCTGCAAGGGTATTGTCCAATGTGTGACTGCACGTGGAAAGCAGTTACCCACTTGTTTTGTGGGCGACACTGCCCTGACGATCTGTAGAGCATTGGTTGGCTTGCTATTGCAGTGACTTTCCTTTCAGGTTATATATTAATATATTAATATATATATATACAAGTATGGAAGTCATATAGGCTTAGACTCACTTCCCTGAGCTGGACTTTAGTCACTTTTGGGTTTGGTTGCCGTGTTAGTGGCAAATGTGAAGCAGTTCCCGGACTTTTGCTTCGCCCATCTGGATCGTTAGTAAGTTGGACCTAGGTCATAACCCACTCGTGGGGTTAACCCAGTTCGTGGATGACCAAGGACTAACTTGGCGAAAAGTGAGTTTTGAGTTTGGACCATGTCAGAAAGAAAATGCTTTTAATGGAACTCTCTTGGCATATTTCCCCACCCATGATCTCTTCCATTTCTCTTCTCCTTTCTTTTACCTTCCCAACCTATCTCTCGATCCACGAATCGAACATCCAAGTGAAGTCGGTGAAGTAAGTTTTGATCTTGGACCATACCAGAAGCAAGCCAAAAGTTCTGGATCAGAATTTTGAGTAGAGCCTAAATGGCCAAGTTGCTGCTTTTTGCAGTCACTGTTGCTGGTTTTGGAAGGTACAGTAAAGTGGATGGAAAAAAGCGATCGCAACTGGATCCATCCACAAACTATTTTTGGTTTGCGGCCAATGGGATCTTGCCAGAAATCGACTCAGGTGAAACTGGTTCTCTCTCTCTGAGGTGATCCAGGCAGGACCCCTTCTCCCCCCTAGGGGTCATTCCCCTCATAGGGGTCATTCCCCTCATAGGGCCTCACAGGGGTCATTCCCCTCATTCCCCTCATAGGGGTCATTTTCCTCATAGGGGGTCCCTCATACAGTTCATTTCCCTCATAGGGGTCATTCCCCTCACACAGTTCATTCCCCTCACACAGTTCATTCCCCTCATAAGGGTCATTCCCCTCATACAGTTCATTCCCCTCATAGGGGCTCAGAGGGGTCATTTTTCTCATAGGGGTCATTCCCCTCATAGGGGTCATTTTTCTCATAGAGGTCATTCATTCCCCTCATAGGATTGATTCCCCTCATAGGGGTCATTCATTCCCCTCATAGGGGTCATTCATTCCCCTCATAGGGGTCATTCCCCTCATAGGGGTCATTCCCCTCATAGGGGTCATTCCCCTCATATGGGTTATTCCCCTCATAGAGGTCATTTTTCTCATAGGGGTCATTCATTCCGTCATAGGGGTCATTCATTCCGTCATAGGGGTCATTCCCCTCATGGGGGTAATTAATTCCCCTCATAGGGGTCATTCCCCTCATAGGGGTCATTCCCCTCATAGGGGTCATTCCCCTCATAGGGGTCATTCCCCTCATATGGGTTATTCCCCTCATAGAGGTCATTTTTCTCATGGGGTCATTCATTCCGTCATAGGGGTCATTCATTCCGTCATAGGGGTCATTCCCCTCATGGGGGTAATTAATTCCCCTCATAGGGGTCATTCCCCTCATAGGTGTCATTCCCCTCATAGGGGTCATTCCCCTCATAGGGGTCATTCCCCTCATAGGGGTCATTCCCCTCATAGGGGTCATTCCCCTCATAGGGGTCATTTTTCTCATAGAGGTCATGCATTCCCCTCATAGGGGTCATTCATTCCCCTCATAGGGGTCATTCATTCCCCTCATAGGGGTCATTCCCCTCATACAGTTCATTCCCCTCATAGGGGTCATTCCCCTCATAGGGGTCATTCCCCTCATAGGGGTCATTCCCCTCATAGGGGGGGCATTCCCCTATGAGGGGAGTCATTCCCCTCATAGGGGTCATTCCCCTCATAGTGGGCATTCCCATCATAGGGGTCATTTTTCTCATAGAGGTCATTCATTCCCCTCATAGGGTTCATTCCCCTCATAGGGTCATTCCCCTCATACAGTTCATTCCCCTCATAGGGGTCATTCCCCTCATAGAGGTCATTCCCCTCATAGGGGGCATTCCCCTCACAGTCATAGGGGTCATTCCCCTCATACAGTTCATTCCCCTCATAGTGGGCATTCCCATCATAGGATTTATTCCCCTCATAGGTCATTCCCCTCATAGGGGTCATTCCCCTCATAGGGGTCATTTTGCTCATAGGGGGCATTCCCCTCATACAGTTTCATTCCCTCATTCCCCTCATAGGGGTCATTCACCTCATAGGGGTCATTCCCCTCATAGGGCCTCACAGGGGTCATTCCCCTCATTCCCCTCCTAGGGGTCATTTTCCTCATAGGGGGTCCCTCATAGGAGGGTTTTATCTTCCGCTTTCCGCTCTGAAACGCGGGTGATTTTTCGCGAAAGTTCCGCGAGAGATCCGCGAAAGCCCGCGCGAAAGCGCAGGCTTCGATTGCAAGGGGAGGTTCTTTCTGAGCGTCGCGTTAGTCAGTATACTAGCTTGGTACTGGAAACTTGCGACTTTAAGCTAGAGCTGCACGGCTTACGAAAAGCTACGACTTTCCAGCCGGTTCATGTCATGTACTACCCCTGTGATGAAAAGTTGCGACTTTACAGCTGGAGTTGGGGAATCGCATTTCGCGCACTACGCTGGCACTTAAAAGCTGCGATTTTCTGACTTGAGCAATGAAAACTGCACGGCGGTGAATCCGCGAAAGATTCGCGAAAGTAACTTGTTTATTCGCGATGAATGGCCGTTTCGAGACAAAGGAATTTAGAACAACCACCATATGTATATACAGATCACACAGAAATATATACATCATTGCCCTTGTCAGCCTTCCACCCACAACTTACAGAGGAAGGTTCTGAGAATGGACGTTTTGGCAATTTTTACTTGGAGCCCCCAACCTGTAAAGAGGTAGGCCCCGTTTAAGGCAGGCACCTGTGTAGAGGTACGTCTGTAATCAGTAGAATGAATGAAGCTGGACAAGAGGGGGGCCTGCGTTGAAAGCCCCCTCATAGGGGTGATCCCCCTCATAGGGGTCATTCCCCTCATAGAGATCCTTCCCCTCATTGCCTTTATAGGGGTCATTCCCCTCAAAGTCATTCCCCTCACACAGTTCCCCCATAGGCCCTCATAGGGGTCATTCCCCTTTTTTTCTGTATGAGTCATTCCTGTTAGGGCATTCCCCTCATAGGGCTCTCATTCCCCTCATAGGTCTCATAGGGGTCATTCCCCTCATAGCGGTCATTCCCCTCATAGCGGTCATTCTGCGTGTCAGTCGCTAAACCTCCAGGTTGCTGCCCGGGGTTTTGGAAGCGCCTCACGTGATCTCCAGCAGTCAGCTGGGAGCCGCGCGGTTCCGAAGTGTCGGGACTAGGGAGGGGTGAGGATCCATCTAGTGGGCAAGATCCACTTTAAGACCCCAAAATGGTGGGTTTGCCCTTTGGTTTCCCACAAAAGCACAACAAGAGAACCTGCCAGAAGAAAAGAGAGACAAAACTTTTCTCACCGTGTCTGTTTTAGGGGGAGGGTTCCCCCACTAAAATAGACAGAAACAAGTTGGTACCAACTTATTCTAAGCTCTCTACTGGAGGACCTAGTTTCCTATAAGGGGACTTCGGGTTTTGGCAATGAACCTAGTGATTTGTCAAGGAAACCATCGGGTATGGTGTTTTTCAAGGTCCTTCCACGTCTTATTCCCTGCCTATCGCACCAGCAAGTCTTGCCCAAGGTCCCATCGAAGCTTGGTATGCAGAATCCGGGTTTCCCATTACTTGGGAATTTGGAGGCTGAACGGGCGAGGCATGTTTAATCTTCGATTCCCCGCAATCAGCGGCCATTCCCTTGAGAAGCATCCAAAAAAAGCTCGCGGGGCGGTCGGTGCATCCTGAAGTGGACGGGCACATCAATGGGGCCTGGTCCTGCGCTGTTCGTCCTTGGCCTTGTACAGCAGACAGCGGTAAACAAATCGGGCGGAGGCATGTTTGGGGCAAGATGCTGGAGGAGGAGGAGGAGAAGGAGGAGGAAGACCCTCAAAACGTGAGAAAAGGCGTCATGACACAGGGTGGTTGAGATCACAGGCACATGCGCGAACACACGGACTGCCGGAGCTCACATGTCCTAAAGTTGGAGGGGGGATCTCCTCACTTGCCAAAAACAAGCTTCCCTACATGCCCTCATCTACATCCCGGAGTGAACCCTGGCATGATCCTTTTTATGGGGATTTTCTGGGTGAACTAGTCTAATGGCTTGGACTTGAGAGAGACGAATGCATGAACTGGCTCCTTCGGCGGTGAGCCATCAAAAGCCGAGCCTTGGATCTGGGGAATACTGTGAGAAATGGACTTGGGTCCCGTCCCACCCCTCCTTTCGGCAGAGCTTACGCCCAGCATGCGCCCGCCACCTCACGGGTCGAAGGTGGTCTTCGTGGGGAGCGGCCCATCGCGGAGCTTGCGGTGCACCCGAGAGCCCATGGCGCAGTCGGAGTTCTTGCAGCTCGCTCGCTCCGAGGTTTCACCGGTCACGTCACCGAGTTTCTTCTGCCGAGTTTCTTTTGGGGCGGTTCCACCCGATTCGGGGTACGAGCGGAAGCCATGAGAAAGGTCCTCTCTACTTGGGGATCTAAGTATGAATTCAGAGTTTGGGATGGTAGTCAAAATTGCAGATGTCTTCCATTTGCTGAAGTGCATATTGTTGATGTTCCCCTGCTGTTTTTTGAGGGAACCGATTTCACACCTGGAAATAGGTGTGTGTTTTCCAGGGGACGCTTGAGAACAGGGTTGTGGGATCACTCGGGGTTTATCCCCTCTTTAGAAGGGTCAGGCTTTGGGAGGCCCTTTTTGTATCACAGAAGTGGTCATTTCCCACAGTCCTGCTTAAGAGTATGGTTGATTTCCCCTGTTGGCTTCTACGAGAATCGATTTACACCTGGAAATATGTTGTTGTGTTTTCCACCAGACTTAAGCAAATGGAAGATATGGGTTTGTGTTTTTAGGGGGCCCTTGCGAAAATCCTCTGCGGGTGACCTCTGCGGGAAGAAACTGGAAAGATCCCGGGGCATAAAGTGGTTTGGCCAAACAAAACAGGTGCAGGGTGCCATAAACCTTTCAGATTGGTTAAGGAAACCAATTGCAGGAATACCCTGCTAGGAATATCACAGGAGTCTGTTCAATTGAGGATAGGGGCCATCAAGTTGGGAGCAAAATGAATTCGCCATCTGCGTGTGGGACTGACTGGGTGTCAAGATGTTTGTGGGAGGTTAGCTAGGCTGACCCTATTTGGGCGTGTCTTTTTGTTGATGGCACCCTTCTAGTTGGAAAGGGCGGGAACCCCACCAATCATTTGGGGGGGGTATGGGTCAAAATAAACCCACCAGAAAAACCGCGGGTTTTAGTCCATGTTTCCATTTACCAGGGCAAGCCATTTTGGGTACATATTTTGCCCCACCGCCCTTTGGAGACAAGAAAGTTTGGGTGATTCCACCAGGCGCTTGGCAGTGAGGCAAGACTTGGGGAAGCTGCTGCTGCTCTTGCTCAAGGAGATTCCAGGCGAAGAGCCGAAGCGGCACCGAGCACAGAGATCGCTGGCAATGCGAAGGTTGGTTTAAGGCGACTGGTTTCTAAGTGTTCAAGGGGAGTCAAAAGGAAAACCCCACTCATGTTCGGGGTACTGATATTGCGGCACATACCCCTCTAAGGATCAGTTGATCGTTCCCCTTTGGGATGCTTTAAAAAGAAACCAACAGGAAAATCCATTTGGAGGGTCATAGTTTTGATGTGCCTTCCGAAAATGTTGGCTTAAAATGGGGGAACCCCCAAAGTGGTTGGTTCTGAAATCTTCACAATACTGCGCGGGATCATTTGAGCAATCAAAAACACGGTAGATGAAGACTAGTGAGGGACAGCCGAATGCAAAAGTAGCTTCGCAGATTTGACCTATTCATTCTGATGTGTTTGAATAGAATTCATTATCACCATTGTGGACAGTTTAAAGCCACCGTATTTGACATGGTTGCAAAGGAGACTGGACACATGGGTAGAGTTTGAACCTTGAGACTTGGCATTTCTTGGAACTGCAAGCAGACCTCTTGACCTTTCGGTTTCCCCAGTTTGGTCCAACGGCCCTTTCGGAGTCCTGGCTGAGTGATGTCCGAACTCTGAGGGTGCAACCCTTTTCCCTAGGTCCCCCAGTGCCCTTTCTCACCCCTTTGGTTGGGGGATTCGGTTCCCCGATCCTAAAATCGACAAAAAAAAGAGCGGGTACCCTTAGCTCTCAACTCTGGAGGCCGGGTCGTAGGTCGATGGGATCTCGTGAGGCGGCGTGCTGGTCTTCATGCCCTCCAAGAAGGGCCTGGAGGATGCGCAACACGAGTGGAGGCAAAGCTTGGGATGCTCGGTGTCCATTTGATCGATCCCGGTTTTAGCTCGGGTTCCAGAATGGAAGTTGGGTCTGCGGAACTGTCTCTCATGCGTGTTTTCTTCTTTTTTTTGGGGGGTACTTTTTGGGTTTGAAAGAGCTTGATGACATCAAGCGCTCATCCGTCATGGGGGCCTCAATGCAGTTCTTGTTGATTTTTGTTCTTTGCACGCCAAGGACCCGCCGGGGCACCTAAGTTCACTGAAATTATTTGAGCACAGTCCGTATTCTCGCTTGGCATGACATGGGCTACACAAGCACTACGGGGAAGTTGCAGGGTCATTGACAAACGACCCATGCGACTTTGGGGGGGCAAATGTGCAATATAGTGGATGTCTTATTGATTCCCTTGCTAATAGTGTGTGTTCCTTCTTCTCGTGTTTTTCCTTATCGTTTGTTTTGTTTCAGTTGGTCCCCCACTGGAAATGACAACATAAGTCACCCGTCCCCTTGAAGCCACCCAAAAAGGGTTGCCCTTTTCATTCCTTTTTATGCATTTTGTTCCAAACATGGGTTCGACCTCAAACCCCAAACGATTGAGTTGGGCTATGCGATCCAGGATCCTTGCCCCCGCCCAGCGGGGGAACGGGAAGGACCAACACAACAAACACCCCATTTCTAGGAAAACGGAACCTCCTTTTGTGTCACCCTCTCTTTGGGAATTCAGCCCATTTTAGTTTCTACTCGAGTATGTGTTTTTGCTTCTTATTCTTGTTGTAGTTGTTTCCACTTTTTGGGGGAATCCAACCCATGTTAATATCTGGGCGACTATGTCTTTGTTGGTTTTCGTTGTTGTCGCCTTTTCTTTTCTTCTTTTTTTTTGGGGGGGGGGGGTGCTGGCTGGTTCCCATGCAGCCAGCTGGCCCAGGACTCCAGCGGTCCCTCTGGGAGCGCCTGCGGGAGGTGAAGGGCTGCGTGCAGATGGAGACGGAGAGCGAGGCCTTGAGGCGGCACCAGGACCCACGGCTTGCGGGAGCTTCGGTGTCCGCGGTTCGAGGTTTTTGAGGTTTGGAGTCGCGGATTGGCTGGTTTTCAGGGAATTCAGTGGGTTGGTCTCAAAAAAGTGACCCCAACCCCAAGAAGAGCTCGCTGAATGGTTTTGAGGGAATTCAGAGGCTTGTCTCAAACCAATTGGACCCCAACCCTAACAACAAATGTTTTCTCGGTTGCCCAAAGCGAATCGACCTGAACTGATGAGTCTTGGATGTTTTCCCATTTTGGTGCAGATTTGTATTTCTGAGTCCTCTGGGCAATTGAGGGTTCAGCTTCCCATCAGATTGGTGGATAGTTTGGAGGTGTTATGGGGCGGCTTCCCATTTACCACGAAACAAGAACCAGGTTCAATTTTCCAAGCCACCAATCCCCACCACCAACCAAGGGTTGCCTGATAGATGGTTCTGCTACCTGGTTTAGGGATAGTTTTCAAAACTATGTCATTCTAAATTGTGCTGGACGAAATATGGAACCGACTCAGGAAATATGTGTTTTTGTTGTGTACCCCAGATGCGGGCAAAAGTGCACTTCAACTCTGCAAAATTCGTCCCCAACCAACACCTGCGGTGTATTGGGTCCTGAAAACCTGAGCCACGCTAAACTCAGTGGTGAACAGATCAGGTCTGGGGGGTTGTATAAGGGGTAGAAGCCTACTCACTGGGTTTCGAGCTCACAGATCCGGTAAAACGAGCTCACCATTATGAAGGTCGCTTAAAAAGGCGCGGGGATAAGGATTAGAAAGGATCCCTGAAGAATCTACATGGGCTGGATTGCTCTTCCGAAACTGGGGTCTCCAAAATGTTGAAGTATACCTTAAGGTTGACAATATGAAATAAGATGAGGGAACCTCATTTGAAGGCCATGACGGGGATATCCTCAACATAGAAGCCTGCCTTAGGTGTGTCCATTTTAGACAACACGAATGCGGGTACTTGGAGTCTTCGATTGTAAGGTTCCTGTCGTAAGCGATTTGCTTCCTTCTGCAAACAGTAGTGGATGAGACGTAGGGGACCATCCGGCTACCCCTGCCTTTCATGAACCATCAAGCTGCATAGAGTTGCCCGGCGTACAGTAAGTCTGGTCAAAATAACCACGTGACACGGGGCTTCTCAACCGGATTTCGCTTGAACAACGCTTTACTGTTGGGGGATGGGGCCTTGTTTCGAACCCTACACCCCCTCAGTATCACATGGAACCCAAAGAAGCAATACTGAGAGAGCTTATTTGGGGGACCCCCTTTTGGGTTCATGTTTGCAGGGATTTTTTCCCGTGGGCTGAGTACTTCGCATGTTGATCCTGACTCACCTTTGTTTCAAAGTACACGTCACTGCAAAACCGCCACTGGAATGGACCCATCGCGCAGGGTTGCCTGAAGGAAGCCGAAGGAAACCAAACTCACTTGCCCTGAAGGTCAAATCGACCTGACCTTTGGGTTTCCCTGTTTGATCTACTTGTAGCGGCCCAAAGGTGATCACCTTTTATTTCAACATTTGGCTCACTTACTGAGTTCCTGGACACTTTCTATAGGTTTGGTTGCCATTTTAGTGCATAGAACGTTCGCCCTCCCTGTTCCAAAGCCGTTGTTTTTGGTTTTGTTTTTACGTTGCTTTCCAACAGGGTCGCGGATTACCAGGGTTTGGTTACGTTTTCTGGTTGCCGTTGCCATCCCTTTCCCTCCGACTCGTGGGTTCACGGGCCGTTCGTTGCCGCCTAGGACGCAGCCTCTGAGGGCGCAGTGCTCTTCTGTGTCTACCGCGGCCGTGCCAGCGAGGCGTGCATTGAATTGGGTGTTGGGGGCTGGTGGGACGGGGGCTATTGCAGGCACAGGTGTCCTTTTTGGGTTGTTTTGGAAAAAGAATAGATGGCAATTCCTGGTTTACCAGGTGGTTTACTCATCTACCAGGAACTCAACGGAAACCACGTTCGTACTTCTCAGTTCCCAAGCTGTTTGCGCTAAGACGAAGCCACTTAAGTGAGAAGAACATGAGGCCACTGCTGTTCGCGCATTCACATTTGTTACAAGTGAGTGCTATTTTGCGTGAAAGCCCGCTGAAGTTGTTTGTTTTTTCACAAAGCCGCAGAGACGACTTGGAACAGGCCAAAAGAGAGATTGCATCCCAGTCAGGCATTGCCATACGTACCCTCCCCGTCCACGTTGCAAAGGAACCTGACGTGGAATACGATGTTCCTCTAGAAGAGACCCTCTGGTGGGTTCCATGTACGTGGACAGTTGGTTTTGGTGTTTGTTTATCTTGGCTTTCTTGTCATTTTGTCTTGCTCCATCTCAGCATGTGTGCTTTGTTTTTAAATGTTGACCTGTTGCTTGTCAAAGTCGTTTTTACCATGCCCCGATAATTGACCTACACATTCAATATAAGCTATAGATTGGCCTGTGGTATTGATAGCTTCCAAACTATATTACGCAATATGATACATGCACATACATGTATATATATATACTTTAGAGCCTCCGGCTCAGTCCGCCGACATTGTCGTCTCCCTTTTCTCCTTCTTCCTCTCTTCCTTGTCTCCCTTGTGTGTTCTGTCGTCCTCTCTCCCTCCCTCTGCTCCCATCCTCCCCATCCCCCCAAGCCTCTCTCTCCCCAATCTCCCTCTCTCGTATGTATGCCATGTACTGCATGTATGCATGTATGCATGTATGCATGTATGCATGTATGCATGTATGTATGCATGTATGCATGTATGCATGTATGTATGTATGTATGTATGTATGTATGTATGTATGTATGTATGTATGTATGTATGTATGTATGTATGTATGCATGTATGTATGTATGTGTATGTATGTATGTATGTATGTATGTATGTATGTATGTATGTATGTATGTATGTATGTATGTATGTATGTATGTATGTATGTATGTATGTATGTATGTATGTATGTATGTATGTATGTATGTATGTATGTATGTATGTATGTATGTATGTATGTATGTATGTATGTATGTATGTATGTATGTATGTATGTATGTATGTATGTAATGTATGTATGTATGTATGTATGTATGTATGTATGTATGTATGTATGTATGTATGTATGTATGTATGTATGTATGTATGTATGTATGTATGTATGTATGTATGTATGTATGTATGTATGTATGTATGTATGTATGTATGTATGTATGTATGTATGTATGTATGTATGTATGTATGTATGTATGTATGTATGTATGTATGTATGTAATGTATGTATGTATGTATGTATGTATGTAATGTATGTATGTATGTATGTATGTATGTATGTATGTATGTATGTATGTATGTATGTATGTATGTATGTATGTATGTATGTATGTATGTAATATGTAATGTATGTATGTATGTATGTATGTATGTATGTATGTATGTATGTATGTATGTATGTATGTATGTATGTATGTATGTATGTATGTATGTATGTATGTATGTATGTATGTATGTATGTATGTATGTATGTATGTATGTATGTATGTATGTATGTATGTATGTATGTATGTATGTATGTATGTATGTATGTATGTATGTATGTATGTATGTATGTATGTATGTATGTATGTATGTATGTATGTATGTATGTATGTATGTATGTATGTATGTATGTATGTATGTATGTATGTATGTATGTATGTATGTATGTATGTATGTATGTATGTATGTATGTATGTGTAATGTATGTATGTAATGTAATGTAATGTAATGTAATGTAATGTAATGTAATGTAATGTAATGTAATGTAATGTAATGTAATGTAATGTATGTAATGTAATGTAATGTAATGTAATGTAATGTAATGTAATGTAATGTAATGTAATGTAATGTAATGTAATGTAATGTAATGTAATGTAATGTAATGTAATGTAATGTAATGTAATGTAATGTAATGTAATGTAAATGTAATGTAATGTAATGTAATGTATGTAATGTAATGTAATGTAATGTAATGTAATGTAATGTAATGTAATGTAATGTAATGTAATGTAATGTAATGTAATGTAATGTATGTATGTATGTATGTATGTATGTATGTATGTATGTATGTATGTATGTATGTATGTATGTATGTATGTATGTATGTATGTATGTATGTAACGTATGTATGTATGTATGTATGTATGTATGTATGTATGTATGTATGTATGTATGTATGTATGTATGTATGTATGTATGTATGTATGTATGTATGTATGTATGTATGTATGTATGTGTATGTATGTATGTATGTATGTATGTATGTATGTATGTATGTATGTATGTATGTATGTATGTATGTATGTATGTATGTATGTATGTATGTATGTATGTATGTATGTATGTATGTATGTATGTATGTATGTATGTATGTATGTATGTATGTATGTATGTATGTATGTATGTATGTATGTATGTATGTATGTATGTATGTAATGTATGTATGTATGTATGTATGTATGTATGTATGTATGTATGTATGTATGTATGTATGTATGTATGTATGTATGTATGTATGTATGTATGTATGTATGTATGTATGTATGTATGTATGTATGTATGTATGTATGTATGTAATGTATGTATGTATGTATGTATGTATGTATGTATGTATGTATGTATGTATGTAATGTATGTAATGTATGTATGTATGTATGTATGTATGTATGTATGTATGTATGTATGTATGTATGTATGTATGTATGTATGTATGTATGTATGTATGTATGTATGTATGTATGTATGTATGTATGTATGTATGTATGTATGTATGTATGTATGTAATGTATGTATGTATGTATGTATGTATGTATGTATGTATGTATGTATGTATGTATGTATGTATGTATGTATGTATGTATGTATGTATTTCCCGCAAAAAACACGGTTTTTCCAGCGTTTTCGCAAAGAGGACGTCCAAAAACATTGAGTTTTTCCAGATTTTCGGCAAAAGGATGCAGGAAGCCCAAGCCAGCAAAAAAGCCTGCAGGGGGAATCGAGCCTGGGACCCCTGTTTTGCGACAAATTGCCGCGCGGTACGTGGGGACGGGGGGGGGTTATCCTCTATCCTCTAGTAAGTATCCGACACGCCTAGCAATGTCGGCGGATACTTTAGAGCCTCTCTGCGCGCGCGGAAAAAATAAGCATAATTGAAAAAGGCGAAATAAACCCAAAAGAAAAACAGGTAAAGCCCGAAAACCCGAAAACCCAAAACAAGTCAGGGCCTCTCGCTGTCGGACGTGGCGGTGCGGGGGGTGATCTGCGTGGGCATCCCACTGCGGCCGCTGAACCCGGCGGTGCGGCTGAAGAGGCGCCGAAGCGAGTCGTCAGCGTGGAGTCCATGGTATCCGTGGCCGGCCATCTGGTTCCTGGGGTTTTTCGTTGGGTTTTAGTTGGTGTCCTCAGGTTTCAAGCTGGTTTTTTTTCCGTGGGTTTCATGGGTTTTTTTTCCGCTGTTTTTAGCTGGTGAAAAGTGGTAGTTCCGGTTCACCCATTGGAAGTTAGAAACTGTTCGCAGAGGATCTGAAGGCAGCCCGTGGGCTATGAGTCTTAGGGAACCCGGGCACGACTCAATGTGGGCGAAAGAAGCATGTTTTTGTGTCCAAGGGTCCTTGAAAACAAAAACAATTCACAGCCATACAACACCAGGCCATGTGTTTTCCTCTCGGGTCTTGGACGCAACCCTTTTCTAACAGAACACCTTGAGGGGTTGAGTGACGACCACACGGCTGGCAGATCGCATTGATTTGCTCTAAAATGGTTTTGAATTTGACTGGACCGGAAGTTCTATCCACCGCCAAGGCCAAGCAAATCGGATGTTTGTAGCTGGGTCTGTTTGGTAACTTCTTAGGTGAGTTTTAACAAATTTGCTTTGGACACGTGTAGTGTTGTTTGACTTTCTGGAAGAGTCAGGCAAACCGCCTGTGACTGAGTACAGGAATCCAAGAGGAAGCACACGCATTTACTCAGCCCGAAGAAGACTTGGGCATTGAGTGGGACTCTAGCTTGCATTCCTGCCGCAAGGCCGACTCCTTCTGCCATCCTTACTGGACTGCAATTCCACCAAACACAAGAGCAATTGATGCAGTGTTGCTGTCATGGCAAGGGGAGCCAATGCAGCCTGACAGTGGCTATCAGTCACCCGTGTCGAGCTTTTGCTGCTGCGTGCCGCAAGGAGCTACTACGATCAGGTGAAGCCGAACGGGAAGAATGGGGAAGACTGGCACCTCGGCACGCGCTTGCGCGATTTTTTCGGCTCGGACGGCAAGAGCGGGGCAGAAGTGGGGCATGGTTTCTTTCGAAGCCCTCGTTTTTAGGCTGGAATGCTGGGGCTTGGGGTCAAACAGAGGCACAGCGGCAACTCAAATAAAGGAAAGTGCACAACCACTCTTTATGTTGAATCGTGAGCTGCTTTGATGTTATGATGTGCAATTGTTTATGGGTGTCATAACCAAGTATTGTTGCCAAACGCTTCCATCCTTTGTCTGTTTGAGAGCAGCATCTTCCTAAAATCGAAAGGCATTCGGTACCCTATCAAGGCCAAAGTGCTCAAGCAAGACATGCCAATGTGCACCCTTGCTGGGACGGTGGCTGTAAATCAATGCCCAGTGCGTGAGTGAGTTTCTTAGCAATTATCCTTGCTTAATTATTGGTCCATCCCTTGAAGAGGTTTTGCTTTATCCGACCAAGCACCAATCAAAAGATTCCTTGCAAAGGTGTGCAAAGCTGGTTCTTCACGGGGCTGTTCATGGCCTCTTCCATGTCATTCACAGAGGAGGTGTGCAGGTCGGGAGGGAAGGCTATTTAAGCAGCTGGTTCTGATTGGGATTACAACAATCCCTATATGGGCATGGGTCCAAATTAAACCACCAGGAATTAGACCGCAGATGTTAGTCCATGTTTCCATTTACCCGGGCAACCCATTTCGGAGTTGCACTATTTTTGACCCAAAGCCATATGAACTGCCACAACAGAAGCGCCATGTTGGGCGCTTCTCAGTTGCGCGGGTTTCTTCTGTCCAAGCGAGGTATAGCCAGGATGCCCATCGAGCTGTGAATCAGGCACTGGGACGTGCGGTGAGACATAGACAGGAGCCATGCCAAACTGTTTTTTCTCTTTCTCCTTTTTTTTCCGGTTTGCTTGCCGGAGCACGACGAAGTTTACGGCAGTCCTTGTTTCAAGGGGGCGTCAAGAGAGTCCTTGAATAAACTCTCCCGTTGTTTTCTTTGGCTAAAGATGGCTGGCTCCACTGGTGAACATATATTGATCCACTTCAGATCGAATGGAGATCTCAGCACAGTAATCCTTCGACTTGGCCGAAGCTGACTATATTCCATCTTAAGACGCGGGCAGCCGATCAAGAAAGCATCACTCAGCAATGGGGATGTTTTGCGGCCGCAAATCTGGGCTGCTTCAGAAGTCTCTTCGAAAAGCCAGCCTTGGGGAGTTGGACAGAAATGGATTCCTGAGAATGATCAGAGCTGAGATCCATTCAACCCCCCGTCCAATTTTGAGGGGGAACGGAAAAGGCCGCGCCGCTTGGGTTTGGGTCCGGTGAACCCCGGGGGGTACGATGGACAATTGAAGTCTTTTTGCAAGCTCGTGGTGCCATTTCTTGCTTACAAGAAGTACGCTGCCCGCAAACTAGACGCTGTCTCGCATAGCCACTCTTAGTGGCCCAATGCGTAAAAATTCGAAGTGTGTACTGACCTTGCGCTTTCTTGGGAGCCTTAGCACCAGTCTGTAAACTCTTCCTGTGGCAAAAGCAGTGGACTTGCTGTACTTTGCATGGACTCCCGGCCTGCTGAACTTCCTGCTCCCCCTGGGCTCACGAACCAACCATACAAACCAAGCAAACAGACCCGACCAAACCCGACCAAACCCGACCAAGCCCGACCAAGCCCGACCAAACCGACCAACCAGCCAGCCAACCAGGCAACCAGCCAAACACGACCAAGCAAGTTGACTGCACAAGTGACTAGCTGATGAACTGTTGCATTCACTAATTGTAAACACTCCGCGCTGCTTGCCTCAGCCAGTATCAGCCGCATTCTTTTGGTTGGCTTTGAAGTGCCTCGTTGTCTCACTAAGTGAGTCCGCGCCAAACAGCGTGAGCTAATTTCCAAGATGTACGACGGGGGCGGGGGCGGGGGCGTACGCGCTTTCACACCTTAGCTTTTACGTTTTTGAGATGTGGCTGTGGCTCAAAAACATGTACCAAAATGGCACCTTGCTAAATGGAACCAAAGACTAAAACCTGCGCAACCCTAGCTCTTGAATTTTGAGCCACACCCATGTTGCTCGAAGAAGCACTGGGGCGCTACGCGCGTCCAAAGCGCGATCGCCAAGCCGCATAGCAGCGCAGGAAATGGGAGATTCGTTGGGCAACCAGGTGTTGTCCCTTTGCCTGAGAAAGACCATGCTTTTTCGCGGCGAACATTGGCCGACATGAAGATTTGGGGTGGTGGTATTCTGCTCTATAACATTTCGGTCTGTTTTGACAAATCGTGCACAAACCCCTGCAAGACGATTCGGGGTAAGAAACATGCGTGATGCGCAGCTGCCAAAGCGTACTTTGCGTACGACACTTCTCAAAAGTTGCGACTTTCGCGCCGGAGCTGTCAAACACGGCCGAATTGCAAGAAGCAAGCAAAAACGATATCCCCACCCAGGAAGGATCGAGCAGGTTATCACCCAGCCTGTAAACAACCTCATGTACATGATGTCCACCAAAGGGTGCCTGATAAGGATATATACCTTCCCCGGACCCCACACGCACAACAGCCACGGTTGGGCCCCGTAGGACTATGGCGCGGTGGTCTTGGTGGACGAGCGATGGACATGCGCAGGACGCAAATTTCATGTTGCAGGGGCGCGGCTTGTTTCACGGGAGTGCCTTCGGGAAGGGATATTGGAGAAGCTTGCACTCAGTTGCCCAAAGCCGACCTTTTGACCTTTTGGTTTCTCCTTTTTGGTCCAGTTTTATGGCCCCAAAAGGTGATCACCTTTTATTTCTGGGTCCGAACCCACGTTGACAAAAGCTGTTGTGAACTCCAGAGGTGACAGAGGTGACCGGGTGAGGAAAAACCATGTTCACCCGCTTCGGAAGTCTTCCTGCTGGCTTAGGGACGCTTTTTTTTTCGGGGGAAGACGCTTAAGAAACTTTAGAAGTACCGCACACCGTGACGTTTAAAACCACCGAAAAGGGAAATACGGGGACCCCTGCCTCAAAAGATCGGAAGCTACAGAGATGTGCCACGCCTGCCTGGGAGCTTCCAATTATGCTTTGAACTCCGTGGTCCTTTGAGAAACCTAGAGATTTCGGGTAGTCCATACACTCACTTGCCCAATTTACATACCCCTGTTTGGCGGCTGAAGAATTTGATCGGTCAGTTTGGGGTTTTACATCCGTTGCATCCGCAGTGTGGCTGTTCAAGCGTGAAAATGTGCGAGCAGCGCACTTGGACGGTTTGTTGTTTCCTTTTGGGCCCCAAACCGGTAACCCTTGAATCTATAGGTTATCAGCCGTAGGCCCCTAGCTCTAAGCAATGGACGGTTCCCTTGTGCCAGTTGATGGATCCAGCATGCCTGTGGATGCTGCCGGAGCTAGCTCCGGCAACGCCACCGGCGGCGGTGTGCGAATGTTCGCATCAAGCGCTAATGCGCAATACAACCGCACCCTGATGAATTCCCTTCAACTGTACAATACCGCAATCTTTGCTTTTGGGAATGATGCAGCCATTAGGTCTGAAGCCGAAGCCCTGCATCAAGCAGCTGTAACGCATTTGCAAGCGGAAAACCGTGAGGAGCTCCGTGCCGCACAGAATCAGCTGCATGCACACTACGCTGAATGTGTGCAAGCCCAGTCGCATAGGATTCGTGAATACGAACAGCGAGTGAGCGATGAGTTCATGCAAGAAGTGAACTTCGCTGAAGCTAGGATAAGCCAAGTGTGTGAGGAAAATGCCCAAGCATTGCATGAAGCGGAAATGGGACGCAAAACAACTGAGTTTAGGCAAGCCATCGAATCCACCCTGGCTGAAGCCCAGCAGCTCCTCCATGAGCAAGCTGCCAAGCATGCCGATGACACAGCCCGTGTCGAGGCTACACACGCCAGAACGGTTGACATGATGGCACACCAAAACGGGCTTCTGCAGGACGAGCTTGATGAGCTGAAGAAGTATCAGAAGCAACACGACCTCCGCGAGGATGGATCGAAGCCCAAAGGGGTAGGTGATACCCGAGAGGATTCACCAGAGTTGATGACCGACGACATGAAGTCAGCTCGGTCCCAAAGGTCAATGTTGGACCCGTTGACCCATCCGTTTCAATATGCAAAGGAAAAGTTGAGGTCGCTTGTTACCTATGACGGTTACGGGGATGAATATACCCCTAGCGTGATTCCAACTGCCGAATGCGAAGCACTGCCCGCAGATGCTCGCGATCCGCAAGGACCAGCTGAAAAGCCATCAGGTAGCAGCCGATCCCCGGTGAAAACAAGTGCACCGGTCCCACCCCTGCAATTCTCTCAGGGGCCAATGTCAACTGACCGCAAGCAGGGTGGTAAGCCTCCCGGCGGTCCGCCACCTGATGATGATGGCGATGGCGATGGTGATGAAGACGAAGGTGATGGCCTTGGGCCTAACCTCGGCCAAGAAGCATTCGCCAAAATGTTGATGAAGTTAGTAAAAGGCCACACGAACGATGAAAAGCCCAGAACCCGCGAAAGCGAGACGTTGCGATTCAAGGAGATGCCAACTCCTGAAACGTACCGTGAATGGAAAACATCGGTTCGTGAGGATGTCCGCGCTGCATCTGACCGTCCAGACGAGGCTTGGCCTTGGATCATGGAAGTCTGGTCTGATCGCGAGGACAAGAAGAAGCTGTTGGAGGAGCTCGGCGAACCGGGAAAATTCGTGACCCTAGACACGAAGATTCTCGCAGCGCTCACGCGTTCAGCGAAAGGCGATCTGGCTCAGCGAATCCTAACAGCAAAGGAAGAATGTGCCAAGGAGGGAAAGGCCATGAGAGGAAGGCAGGTCTTGTTTATGTTTGACCAATATTTCAAGACCAGTGAAGAAGCCGGAAACCTCTACTCCTTGGAGGACCTGTTGCGTGTCTCGCGACACGGCGAAGGAATCATCGATCTCAAGCGTTTCCTGAATGCTTGGGATTCCGTGATCGCCGGCATGAAAAAGCCGCCGGAAGAAAAGGTGTTGAAAGACATCTTGCTTCGCCAAGTGAGAAGCTGCCATCTGTTGCGGTACGACATCGACACATATGATCGTTGCCGTGATGATGATCCCAATAAATCGTACGATTTCCTAATGCGCTGCATGAGGGATCTAATCGAGAGGGATAGGCTTCGCGAGAACCGAGAGCGCGTGTCCAAGGTCAATGCCAGTAAAGCCCCGACGCCCAAGGCTGGTGCTGCCGCTCCTGAAAAGAGGGACCCCAAGAAAAAGAGCGCACCTAAGCCGAAGGACACCGAGGAGAAGTACTGTTTTGACTTCCAGAAGGGCTCGTGCACGAGGGGGGCAAACTGCCCTTACGCGCACCGCAAGGAGCCGCGAGGACGCTCCGCGACCCGCGGCAGGCCAAGTTCCCCCAAAGGCGGTAAAGGAGAGAAAGCACCGTGTTCTTTCTTTGCCCAAGGGAAGTGCACGAGAGGTGATAAATGCAAGTTTAGCCATGCCTCCACGGGCGGCAAATCTGCCGCCGCGGCATCGAGCAGCGAGGCCAATGCAAATCCTGCGGCTAAGAAGCGTGCAAATTCACCTAAGCCTAAGCCCAAGGCCAAAGCCGCTGCAGTCTGCACCAGGTACGCCATGTTCGCAAAGCCGATCAACCCAATCGGAGTGTCATTCGACACCAATGCTCATGTTCATGAGATCCCCGCCGAAGGCGATGGTTTCAAGCTTGAGTATGAGGAACGTCAGTACAATAGGATGTTTCCAAGTGCCAAGGACTGCCCCAGGCCGACCAAAGGGACTAACAAGGCAGCGCGCAAGGCCGCGAATCAGTTGAATGCCGTAGTCAAAGCCATGGAGAATGGAGCCCAGCCCGCTTGCGGTTTCATGTGCGATGTGGAATCCGATTCCATCTCAAGCCTATCGTGTGATGAGTGCCTGAGAGTTGTCATGCCGCCTCACGATGTTCGCAAGGATGTCGAAGCGCCAAGGGCAGCCACCCCTGCCCCAAAGGGAAAGGACGTGTGGCTCATTGATTCCGGTAGTGAGCAGGACCTCATCAGCAAGGCTGCACTGAGGAATGCGTCCAAGGCAATCCGAAAACAGGCCCCGCAGCCTATTCGCCTTGTGACTGCAAACGGAAACATCACTGCTTCCGAGATCGCCGACATCAATGTCGATGCATTGTGCGAGCCTGCTCAGCCTTACATCCTCGAGAGTTCTCCCGCAGTGCTGTCGCTGGGTGTGAAGTGTCTGGATCAAGGATATTCCTTTCATTGGGAATCCGGGAAGGCACCAACCATGGTTCGCCCTGACGGTGCTCTGATCCAGCTCAAGGTTGACGGTCATGTGCCATACATGGACTCTAGTTGTGAAGCTGAGCCATCGTTGAGTGCAGTAGCAGCATCAAAGCCAGCGCCTGCGCCAGTTCATGACGAAGGCATCGACGAAGGTGATGATCCCGACGACGAAGTTGAGCGGTTTGTGAGATCCCGCAAAGAGCAAGATCTGGTTGCCGAAGCAGGTACCAAAGAGCACTTGTTTGCACACTATCCGAAGAATCCCTTTTGCCGCACTTGCCAACGTGCCAAGATGCTTGCCCCATATGCAAGATCGAAAGGCGGGCAGGGAAGGCTCGAGACGAAAGCGTTTGGAGATCACATCATTGCTGATCATGTGATTCTCAAGGCCAACATCGAGCAAGGCATAAAAGGTGAATGGTGTGCTCTTGTGATCAAGGATGTGCATACGCAGTTCAGGTACGTTTACCCGTCGACCAGCAAAAGCACGGAGCAATCCGTTGCAGGGATCCAGCATTTCATTTCCGGTAGGGATGAGGTTGAGGTTCTCTACACTGATAACTCCCGGGAATTGAAAGCCGCAATAGAGCAGTTGGGGTACCGTCATCAGACCTCCATTGAATATGTTGATTCTTCCAAATCTTTCGTGGAAAGGGAAATCAGACATCTGTTGGAGGGAGCACGTGCGAACCTTGTCCAGTCAGGGTTCTCACTGTCGATGTGGCCATTTGCCATCCAGCACAATGCAGTTGCGACCAACATCCTGCCACAGTTGAATGGAAATGATTCGCCATGGTACCTCAGGTTTAACAAGACCTTTGATGAAGCTGAGATACCTTTCGGAGCAAAGATACTGTTCTGGAACAACCCTGCACGAGCTGACAATCAGGCAGGCAAGACTTCGCCAACATCGAATGAAGGCGTGTTTCTCGGGTACCATATTCAGCCTGGGTTCGCATGGAAGGGTGAGTTCCTCGTTGCAAAACTAGAAGGGCTCGATTACCATATCGAACATGCGTCCCTCACGGTACAGCGAACTAAGCGCATTGAGCTTCCGACCGATGAGTTCATCTTCCCGATGAGGTTGTTGAAAGACCCTGCATCTCATCCACCTGTTGCCAGTGCTAGGACACGAGATGATCCTGTGCCGTTGGAACGTGGGCAAGCCCACATCGAGGAACCCGCCGCATCGGAGAAATCCGAAGCGAAGACCAAGCCTGTCGTGCCCGAGAAAGGCGGCGCATTCGACCCGAGCATAATGCCTGATGGGTCACCAGTACCTGATGGCTATGTGTGGGATGGGGTTCGGCTCGTCCGTAGGAAGGCCGGATCCAAAAGGCCTCCCGATATCCCGTCTGA